ATTCATCTTGCAGCTGTCGTCCTGAAAGACACACATACTGTATCAAGGACCCCCGACGCTCGAGGAGTTCCATCAAGGCGTAACGGCCTTCCACCTATATACTTCGATACTTTCTTATCCAATGGCTCTAACCGAGAGTTCCAAGCAACTGTCGCGGCTGGAAACAGTAACCCAGATAAATATGCCGAGTAGTGCTCAAAGTCAGGCGAATACCTTCTTCAAATTGCAATTTTAAGAGTGCCAGCCGCTTGCAGGCTAGGGTATTGCTGATGAGATTCTCGTCTGCTCCATTGCTGAAATCAAAGACATCATGGGTCCCACATTGGACTCGCGTGACCAATCGGAGAAACTTACCGTATGAAGATGGGTGGTATAGTACCCGGAGCGCATGCAGAAGGAGGGTACAAACCGTGAACTATGTGCCGTAGGGATTCAATTGTCCGCGAGATGTTTGTAGAGCTGTGCGCTGAAGTTCAATGATGAGCCCCCCCAGGATGGATGAAATTACCGAAAATAGGTCAAGCGCTCATCCTCAAGTGTTCGAGGAAGAAATTTTAACCTTAATTCAAACACGATGAGATGGAATCAACAAGGTGTTCGCGTGCTTACCTGTCTATGTATAGACTTCGCAATGCGGCTCCAAAGGAATATGTTGACTATTAAAATACGCGTAAGTCAGATTGGAGAGCGAGTGTCGATAATACTCTCTCACTTGTTTCCCGATATCGGTGAGCTCTGCTAGCAAGCTGTGGTATGTCGTATTCAAGAAACGGCTACGAGTCACGAAATACAAACTCACTGACCATAACCCCTCGGATGTTTTGCCATGTCTGTTCTCGGCGACTTTCTTATACCGCAGCCCATCATCTACGGTAGAACTGTATCCAGCTACGGTCGCAAGGAAGTTTTTCGAGATATTGCACATCTGCCACTCGGCTGGTATCGATGCTGGAGGGTCGGACATGCGCTCTACGATAGGCGTACGTTCACCTATATAAGTGCAGGCTATAAGCAAAAATAGACGCGAACGTGACAGTGAGAACGGCCCGACCCACCATGCCTCACATATACATGCACCTGCTCCAGGTTCAGCCCTTCGGGCGCGAGTGGGTAGCCCTCAACGTCAAGTGGCGCTTCCTTCTGCTTCATGCCAATGGCAAGTTAGAAGACCTTCCCGTTGCCATGCACTCGTGGGACGAAGTCGATTTACATAAAATAACGTGAAGAACCATCATTATGGACGAATACTGATGCGCACCAATACCGACCTTGTAAGTATGCGCTCACAGTACTGGCGAGTCTTCCAATGGAGATACTCCTGGTAAGCTGACGTTAATACTGGCAAGACGTTGCATGACCTGCCACATGAGCGCTTCGTTCGTCCTTCAAATAGATTTCATGAATCACAAACCATCCAGTGAGTCTCAAGTGCATCTCAAGTTGACGACACGTTGAATATTAATCGTACATTGTCGTATTCAAATCTATCTGGAACTACCCCCAGTAATTCTCGTGGCCTCGAATTGCAGAAATTTCCATTCCTCTCGACTCGACACCGGGCGAGCTGACCATTCGGTAGCGTTCCATGGGTCGACTTAGATGGTAGCTTGACCTTCACCCGGGGCCTTCAAGTTGGACGTTGTTGCGTAGTACGGGATGACAGCGCTCTGGATCATATGATGGTGGAGAGATACGGAGAGGTTGAACTGTCGCGGCCAGTCTCATGGCAAGTGTAATATACACATTGAGAAAGGGTGTGCTGGAAGCTGATTCCCGCCTCGGACAATGAGGATTTGCAAACTACAAAGTCACATTGCCCGAGGCGCGAACCAGAACTCTGGTTCTCACCTCCCTAAGGAAATAATTAGGCCACTCACCTTTCTGTCCAGGATGCGTTTGTCGTTTTATCCTTGCTCTTCTGTTTGGTGAGCTTGCGGATTGGGGTGGGCTTACTCCGGCTAACGACCTCGGCTAGCTTGCTTGATGAGGAGGCAGACTTATGTCATGCTGGCCACCTGTTTCTAGCTCGCTGGGAGGTTAAGCATCGTGCTGACGATAGTGCTCTGGCTCGAGGAAGCAACGTGCTGAACTCCAGTTTGCTTGGTGAGGAAGCATCGCGCCGGTGGTCCCAGCTCTTGCTTGGTGGGGACGCAGGCTGACCGTGCTTATGCCCCAGCAGCTCGCTTGGTGAGGAAGCAGACTGACCGTGCTTATGCCCCGGCTCCAGCTCACGTGGCGAGGAAGTCAGACTTACCGTGCTGCCGCCTGCGCTCTAGCTCTCGCGTACCGAGGAAGCAGACTTAAGATGCCACCCCCGACCTGGCCGTGCTGAGAGGGAGCAGGGTGGAATGTCCTGCAATTCACCCCGGCGGGCATCCTCGGTGTCACAGAACATGGGGTCCCACGTCCTGAAGGTCCCGATGTGGAGATGGCAACTACCGATTCCCATGTGAACGTCAGGACCAATCCAACTTGGAAGAAGAAAGTAGACTTACCGTTTCAACTCGTGTCCTAGTTTACGGAGCTACGAGATTGTTGAGTTCACGCGCCGCCCAAGCCATGATGCAGGCCAGTGAGGATATGCTGGGGAGGTGGGTAGGGTGATATGGTAGTTGGCGGCAAGTACACGCGGTGTACATCACTAGTGACTCGTTTGTGAGACAAGTCCGAAGGCGGCGAAGACACGACGTACCTATGGTGTATTGCTGCGCCTGGTTCCAGGTTGTTGCAATTACACTCTGCAAGTAGTGGTCAGACATCTGATACGTGAGCAGCCAGTGCGTCAAACATACGTTGAGGACCGGCGGGCAGGACGACAAGCAGCGGGAGAAAGATGAGAGTATCAGTACGATGCCAACTTAATACCAAACCCGCCACGTACCGTGTCCTAACAATCGTTATAGTATAATGGGCGAGTTGCATCGCACAACACGAGGATGATGAGAGATGTGAAGAGAGTGTTGGAAGTGAATAATCCACACATTAGACTTACAGGAATGAACTACAACGGCTGGATAGTCTAGTGATTAAGACGCCCCCCCCCCGGAGTTTGGAAGGCCTAGGTTTAAATCCTAGTCTGGCCATACTTTTGGGTTTCTCACAGAGAGAGTGAGTGAAGGGGTGAGATAGGATGGACGTATTTTAAATACGACGGGGAGGGCTGACTTCGAAAAAGGGGTAAATTCGCCGAACATGGAATGTGCACGTGATCCAGAGCTTAAGGCTGTCACATGATGAAGCTTCATCGCGATCGTATACTTGCTTGTATTCAAGTCTTTCTGGAATCGTCTATTGACTCGAAAGGCAGTCACGGTGGTTTTTCAAATCTTCGATGTCTTGCTTCGTTCCCCCCCGTGCTCTCCCTCGTTCTTCTCCATCACGCTACCTCCGCAATGTTCAACATCAAGTGAAGGACTCGAAAGTTTTGGGACAGCATGCACTCAGTGGTTTCTTCAGAGGACCTCATTTAAGCCAGCACCTGAGAATCGAATGCCTACGGTACTACCCATAACCATGACACTGAAGCGCGTAGTCGGATAGTTTTTGCGAAAAGAGAGACTCAACTACCGTGACATGATCAATGGCGACCACAGTTCGAGCGAGTGAGTGTCAACTTGGGATGTTTTCGGCCACCGATTATCAAGCTGCATGTGAACCGCCTTAGCATTAATGGAACAATCGCTTTGTAGCCTTTAGAGCTTTCCTAGGTGACACGAAGGGCGGGGGCCGGAAGACAAACGTCCAGGAATAACCTTAGCCTGGGCACAACAAAGCAGCTAAATTTATGGCTCTCCTCTCTCTTCGATAGACATAGGTGAGGAACTGTGTTGTTGTTTCTATGATCGGTGCTATGGAGTATCATTCATTCATTATTGCTCGGCCACATTCGCTTTTTCTGTACACATTCTTATAATCGTACATGTTTATTTGATGTGGCGTAGTCATCCCACTAGTGTTATGACATGACTTATTCGGACTCGAAGAATAGATGCGTTAACGGGTGGACGTTCTGGGACCATTCTCAGCTCTTATACGAGCAAGTCAATTGAGACCTGAGGTATCCATTGTGTGGGTGGTAAATACACAACCATGGTGCGACACCCCGAACAAGTCTAGGCAGTGACACGCCATTAAGTTCATGGCCAGGAAAAACACTCCGCATTCCAGTCCTTCGGCGTCAATTCCTTCACCCTCTCCTGAAACACTGACAACGTACAAAACTCCGGCGAACCAGGTAAATGTTTCCCCGGAGCAGCGCACATCGGAAGCACCATATCTCTGTCCTTGTAGCGCATGCGAACATCTGTAAATAGCAAAATGTTCATAATGCCTCTTCATTCAGGCGATCATTTGGATACGCACAATGTTCATCCGGAGATGATTTTCTCCAGAGAGATGAAAGCATTTGCTGGAGATTAGTTTGTTGCTCTGACAGGTTTTGTTTTCGGAAGAGTTCGAACGTCACCGAAGAAGTGAATGGTGGCCACCTGTGTAGTGTATATGAGCACCATGAAGATGAAAAGTGACGTGATCAGCGGACTTCTCATCGAACACATCAAATGTGCAGAGCAATGCAGCCAGCGTCGAGTCGTGCGTGGTGTGTACAAGGAGCTTCGTCGAGTCCCTTGAATCCAACTGAGCTTTGCTTTGCATTTTTCCTGAGACGTCCGCCAGGAGGCGACCCATTCCTAATCGGCGGCCTTCCTCTGATTTGACTGGTTCGAACAGAAGTACTTGAGTTCAACTTCGGAAGGCAGCTATTCTCTCACAAACTAGATGATGGTAGTCAACAACTCATGGATAGATACGGACTGATAGACTAGAGGCTTACTTCCAAACCACTCGGCAGTAACAGCCGCTTCCTGCGGATCGTCATGATGAGCCAGTAGAACCACGATGAACCAAAAATTATCGCACGATTATACCCATAACATTGTCATCTGAGAATTCTGGTGGAACCTGAAACCCATGGGCAGTAGCCGAGCGTACCTTTGAAACGAAAGTCACTGAGTTCAACCTGTAGCTGTTGTCTTGAAAGACACACAAACTGTATCAAGAACCCCCGATGCTCGAGGGATTCCATCAAGGCGTAATGGTCTTCCACCTATATACTTCGATACTTTCTTATCTAATGGTTCTAACTGAGAGTTCCAAGCAACCGTCGCAGCTGGAAACAATAGCCCAGATAAATATGCCGAATAGTGCTCAAAGTCAGGCAAGTACCTTCTTCAAATTGTAATTTTAAGAGTGCCAGCCGCTTGCAGGCTAGGATATTGCTGACGAGATTCTCGTCGACCCCATTGCTGAAATTAAAGATATCATGGCTCCCACATTGGACTCGCATGACCTATTGGAGAAACTTACCGTATGACGATGGGTGGTATAGTACTCGGAGCGCATGCAGAAGGAGGGTACAAACCATGAACTATGTACTGCAATGATTCGATTGTCCGCGAGAGGTTTGTAGAGCTGTGTACTGAAGTTCAATGATGAGCCTCCTCAGGGTGCATAAACCTACCGGAAATAAGTCAAGCGCTCATCCTCGAGTCTTTGAGGAAGAAATTTTAACCTTAATCAAACGCGGTGAGATGAAATCAAGAAGGTGTTTGTGTGCTTACCTGTCTATGTAGAGGCTTCGCAATGCAGCTCCAAAGGAATACGTTGACTATTAGAATACGCGTAAGCCAAGCTGGAGAGCGAGTGTCGCATATTCTCTCGCCTGTTTCCCGATATCCGTGAGTTCCCCTAGTAGGCTGTTGCGTTCCGTATTAAGACTTGTGCATTCCGGGTCACCAAATGCAAATCCACTTACCATAGCCCCTCGGATGTTTTGCCATGTCTGTTCTCCACAACTTTCTTGTACCACAGTCCATCTTCGGTAGAACTGTATCCAGCCATAGTATCATGGAAACTTTTCGAGGTATTGCATAACTGCCAGTCGGCTGGTATCGATGCTGGAGGGTCAGACATGCGCACTCTCACGGGCGTACGTTCACCTAAGTAAGTGCCAGTGCAGGCTATAAGTACCAACAGACGCGAACGTGACAGTCGGAACTGCTACCATGCCTCACATATATGTGCACCTGCTTCAGGTCCAGCCCCTCGGGGGCAAGAGGGTATCGCTCGACGTCAAGTGGCCCTTCCTGCTGCTTCATGCTAATGGCGAGTTAGAAGTTTTCCCGTCGCCATGCACCCGTGGGACGAAGTCGAAGTAGGTCGATTTCAAATAACGCGAGGCCCAGCTCTGGGCTATACGGCCTGGGCCCAGGGCTGCTGGAGGAGTAGGAACCTTAAACACAACACTGAACAGATGGCAACTACGTCAAAAGACCTCAATTCATCTTCTTCTTACCACTTCTTCTGTTGTTCAATTTCTTGGCGTGAATATTCTGACATTGAAGGCGGAGAAAGCTGCGATGGTCCGTGGTGGAGAATGAACATTATTACGGGGAGGTAAACTATGAATGACACAATGTAAGCTTGAGCAATATTAGACAATTCACTTGAGTGACTGGGCAATTCATGTTTCTGCCGTGACAAGAGACAGAACAGAAAAGTCGCATTCTTAAGAAAAAAATAAATCAACAGTCATTCCTATGGCAATTTCAAAGGCACGCACCTTACAATTGAAGAATCCAATGGTGCCCAGGCGGGTAGGGTCAATTCTTTGGCAGAGGACGAATGAAAATATTCGACACCGCGTGAAATGTTCGCACTTTTCCGGGTCACGCGCTACTGGCGGCACTGGCGACTAGCAGGCAGAACCATCATTGTAGACGAATACCGATGCGCACCAATACCGACCTTGTAAGTATGCGCTCACAGTGCTGGCGAGTCTTCCAATGGAGGTGCTCCTGGTAAGCTGACGCTAATGACGTACTGGCAAGACATTGCAGGACCTGCAACTACATGAATGGCGGCGGGGCGGGCGGCCCGCGGCCCGCCTATGAACGCAAATCTATCTGGAACCACCCTAACTCTCGTGGCCTCGAATTGCAGAAACTTCCATTTCTCTCGACACCGGACGAGCTGACCATTCAATAGTGTTCCATGGGTCGACTTAGATGATAGCTTGACCTTCACCCGGGGCCTTCAAGTTGGACGTTGTTGCCACGTAGTACGTGATGACAGCGCTCTGGATCATATGATACTGAAGAGGACTGTCGCAGCCAGTCTCGATATAAACATGGAGAAAAAGGTGTGCTCGAAGCTGATTCCCGCCTCGGACAATGAAGATTTGCAAATTACAAAGTCACATTGCCCGAGGCGCGAACCAGAACTCTGGTTCTCACCCCCCTAAGGAAATAATTGGGCCACTCACCTTTCTGTCCAGGATGCGTTTGTCGTTTTATCCTTGCTCTTCTTTTTGGTGAGCTTGCGGATTGGGGTGGGCTTACTCCGGCTGACGACCTCAGCTAGCTTGCTTGATGAGGAGGCAGACTTATGTCGTGCTGGCGCACCTCGTTTCTAGCTCACTGGGAGGTCAAGCATCGTGCTGACGACAGTGCTCTGGCTCGAGGAAGCAACGTGCTGAACTCCAGTTCGCTTGGTGAGGAAGCAGACTGACCGTGCTTATACCCCGGCTCCAGCTCGAGGAAGCAACGTGCTGAACTCCAGCTTGCTTGATGAGGATGCATCGTGCTGACAGTCCCGACTCTTGCTTTGCGGGGACACAGACTGACCGTGCTTATGCCCCGGCCCCAGCTCGCGTGGCGAGGAAGCCAGACTTACCGTGCTGCCGCCTGCGCTCTAGCTCTGGCGTAGCAAGGAAGCAGACTTAAGACGCCACCCCCGACCTGGCCATGCTGAGAGGGAGCAGGGTGGAATGTCCTGCAATTTCAACCTGGCGGGCATTCTCGGTGTCACAGAACATGGGGTCCCACATCCTGAAGCCACCACAGGTCCCGACGTGGAGATAGCGACTACCGATTCCCTGTAAATGTCATGAACCAGTGGTAGGTCCAACTTGAAAGAACAAAGTAGATTCTCGTGTCCGAGTTTACGGAGCTGGGAGATTGTTGGGTTCACGTACCACCCAAGCCATGATGCAGGCCAGTGACGATATGCTGAGGAGGTGGGTAGG